GTAAGGGGGTAAGTGGGCGCAGCCCGGACGCCGGCGGAAGGCTAGGTGGGAAGAAAATGAGTGGCAAAATTAAGAAAATTAGGATGGAGAGAGATGATGTGGGATTTCCCAGGGGTCAGTGACACGACACTTGACAATCATAAAATCAGAAGGGGATTCATGTAAATGAGCATCAAGGGGCGGCATGAGAAACTGTCGAGTTTACAATCATTACTTTAACACTACTAGCGCAGAAGACATTAAGTCCTCACTTTAGAGTCCTGTCTCTCCCGCTTCTTGCTCCCCGCGTGGTGGCGGCTTTCAATTTAGTCGCCGTCCATTACGAGCAGAGGCCGCCCAACCATAAGGCCCGGTAAAACCCATCGGGAAGAGCATTCTCCTCAGAGCAAACGAATTGTACTCACAGTGATAAATGAAGTGTTCAACTGGCGTTTTTAAGTGTTAGAATTTTCAGAATTTTCACACATTTGCAAATGTGTGAATGCCCATTCACACGGGGCGAGTAAATGGTTACCTTTCCAAGTGTACGAATCTCTATTCGCTCACCTACAAGCGTGTGAATTATTTCACTCACCTGCAGGCAGGGGTGTGACATACGTGCACATGGATTTCAAGTGTAATGTTGTAAATTTGACGACTCTGCAAAACCACGAGTGAACTTGTATGCAGTATTGAATACCTTCTATGTATGCTCGTGGTGTGTACTAATTGCAACTGCCGTTGGAGTTTGGACACGCAATTTTAATCCGTTGTCATTGGGAAATATAATTAACGATTCTATTTCTTCACGTAGAATAATGAGGGCTTGAAGACTGTGCTGCGCCCCGCCACGCGTGGCCCACACGTGGTCTCGCCGGTTCGACACACCAGTTCGACCCTCAATCGATTCGCAGCCGTCAGTCAGAGGAGATTCTGTTTACGAGTCTTTAACGTCTCAATGGTCGTCCGGGCGGAACACTGTTGGGAACAGCTTGCACCTTTGCGCCGAGAGAAGCAAAATCATCGATCTTGTAAAATCTTATAACAATTCTTTTGTTATTGAAAATATCCTGTCTAGCAGTTTTAATTCACTGAATGGGCAATGCGGTTCTAAGGCCAAGTCGATCGCCGCATTACTATAAGCGGAAAACGGTAAACGATTTGAACGAGTCTTTAATAGAGGGATGTATTTGCAGGTCAAAACGGTATGCCGTGCTTCGTTTAAGGATTAGCAACGGTTTTCATTCATTGTTATCGAACAATAACGAGATGGAAGTTGCATATTGATAAAACTGACCAAAATGATTTCACAAATAACACACATTTACCCACACGTCCTCAGAAAGAAAGGTTAACAGATATCAGATGACAAACGAAAAGTACTTCAGTGTATCCATGTAGTCGGTCACTGGAGGACATTTACATTTATTATTTAAGTGCTGTTCGGCGGAGTGAAGTGCATAAATTACTTTTAGAACAACAGCTAACGACTACGGCGTAATTCTTTACATAATGACATAATTTAAAATCCGCCATTTTTTGAGACCTGCGTACTGACGTGCGCGTTTTCGTTTTCTTCCGAATCTTGAAACAGACACTGTGAAACATATCGTCGTAAATTTACAAAATTTTTGTAAACTCGAATTGTAATTTAAGTTGTAAATTTACGAGAGCAGAGTTTTTACTCGCCAATGGATTTGAAGTCGATACGTACTGCATGTAATTTTACGATTTCAAATTGTAATTTTACAACTTGCGTCAAGGAAAATTTTCCTGTAAACCTACCTACTATTTTTCACAGTGGAACGATGGGGTAACTATAAAGAAAAATTACATAGTTGCTGTCCGTTATGACGGCGTAACCTTGATGTGGAAGGTGACCGGCGGGCGGGCCGACGGGTGACTGACTCGGAGTGGGCACTTTAGCTCAGTATTCTATCCCCGCAGACAAACAAGCAGACGCATACACGTAAAAAAGTATACAAACAGGAGGCTCGCGTGTCCTTTGCCCGCCAGCGCCCGGCGGCAGTGCGGTTTAACAACGCGCCGTGCAAAAGACGTCGAGCATTTTCGTCGGGTTCGCCTTTTCCTCTTTGTTTTTCGTGGATGTACACTACAAGGGAACGAAGGATAATAAATTACACGGAAAAGTAGTAAAATAGTGAGAAATACGTCGCGGAGGCCCGGGAAGGAGTGGAACCACCGAACGTCAGTTTCAAAAGGCAACAAAGTTAAATATGTTGGAGTTAAAGTGGAGCACTGTTAATGAATTTCGTCATCTCACGATAATAACGTGATATACGAATAGTTCGTAATTGAAAATAACGAGTATTATTCGTCAATTTTGGGTACATACTGTCCGTAGTGCTATAAAATCCAACTATTCGTAAAGTGTTGATTTAATGAAATCAATTGATATGGGTGTTGGAGAGTTTGCTTTAAAAAAGTTGTGTCCGGGATAATTCTTTCGGCATAACTACCGAGTTACGAATTGTTCGTTATTTTGCGGCTGTATTCTTTATTCACTTTAAAATTACCAAGAGTTCGTGCAGAAATATTAACAGACATTTCTCGTCAAATCGCGACATTATTCCAACAGTGAAGGAATGAAAGATGACTTGAGTGACGTGACTATTTACGTGCCTGAGGCGAAACCTGAAATGTCACTCAACATCAGCATTCAGCACAAGATAAGTCGCCTAGTAACTAGCAACCAGAAACAAGGTGGTGCGGTGCAGGTGCACTGTCATAGTGTGTGGTATCCGGCAAAAATCCAATCCAAATAACTTTTAAGTGAACAATAAAAAAAGACTTGACATACGTTAAAAATAAAAGTTGCCCTGGACAACATTTAAAATCACCGGAAAAACCAAGTTGTTAAACCAAGAATTGAAGACATGGTGCCCTTTAATGGGTTAGGTCAAAACTTTAGTTCCCTTTAAAAGGTACACTCCAAATAGAAAGAAACAATTTAGTTCCTTAACGGCAACGTATGACGAAGTATTCAAATTTGTCACTACACTGATAAAAAGTGTCCAACTAGCGTGCACATACAACTGCTGAAGGGGACACTATGGTGAAAAAAATTGGGGACATTTTTGGTCTAAAAATAGCAGTTTTTGAAAGACTCCCTGCACAAACCTATTAGAGATGGAACTTTGGGGCTCATAAGCATTTAATGGTTAGATATTCAACTTAATTTGCCGGCATTGTCAACAACAACGAAGATGTCTAAGCCACCCACACACGTCAAAGGTAGTAACTCCTGAAGAGTTTTCATGGGCTTCCTATTGGAAAATGTACTGAGGACAGACCCGTTGTTTGATTTTGATATCCATGCCGGGTTTTAATATTAGTGTATAATAGAACATTTTAACATGAGATTTGGCAATATAACTCAAACCAGTTTGCGCATGGAACTTTTCAAAGATAGGCCTGTTTGAACATACTTAAAGATTTTCAGAGCTTTGGGTGGCTCCTAAAATTCTGGGAAAGTTTGAGAAGGTCCTATTTTGTGTATGCTTTAAGAAATTAAAACGGAAAATATTCAGAATCATAGGCTCCCGGACTTCCAAAATTCACCATAGTGTCCCCTTAACACTATGTTGCACACCTTTAACTGTTTGACTGGATATTTGAATACTATGTAGTAAAGTTGACCAATGAAGCTTTGGACACAATAAAGTGTTAAAATTCACAGTTGAACACTTCGAAGTATTCAAATTTCCTGTGAAACACTTAAAAGTGTGCAACATAGTGTTGAGCATTTGCATGTGCACCCCAGTTGAACACTTTATTTATCAGTGTATTGAGATTGAGAATGACAATTTTTAGGATATGCTAAAAAAAATCATCGCTTTCTGGACAGATTAGTCCTTTAGACACTAATAAAACAAGTGTTTAGTGTTGCACGTCAATTGGTGTTTAAGTTCAAGAGTGCATTTTCTCAACACATTGTGGTGTGTAACTAGGTTAAACGTCAATTGGTGTTAAAACTTAAACGGCTGTAAAAAGCAGTTCCATAAAAAATATTACAAAACAAAAGTTGTAGAAAAATGTAAGCTTTTTAAAATTTGTTTTATAACATTTTTCGTGAGACGTGAGCGTTTCACAATCGCTGCTCTTACGCCCTAGTGATTCCCGTACATTTCCCCTTCTAAACGTAGCGGCAGCGCCTAAGCGGCTTGACATAGAGCAAAACGGAGGATATTTAAACCCAACGGATCAATTAGACGCGTTTCCGGTAGAAAAGAAATGTTGAAAATTTTAAAAATACTTGAAATGGCAGCTTTTGGAACGAATGCCCAAAATAACCCCCAAATATGAATTTGAGCAAACATTTTTGATGTGTCCTTCGATGACACATTTAGACCTACAATTTCCCAAAGTAGATTGAAAAGCGGGAATTTACACTTGACGGGGTTCCTTTATTGCAAGTACAAAAGATTTTTTTTGGTCTAGGTTTAGAGGAAAATTATCATCCGATTGAGGTGTGCTAAAGAACGCGTCTTCGCTGGATACAAAACTGCCCTTTCCAATTTCGAGTGCGCGTAGATTACCCGGAGCTCCTGAGCCCGACCAGACCTCGTGCGCACAATGATGAGCAGCCCGGTCCACATCTGGCGATAGCGCACAGCAGCGCATGACACACTCCACGAGCACCGCGGGGCCGATGCTCAAGATCTGGAGTCTGCACGCCATCAGCCCATGGCGGCACGCGAGCTCAGCTCAGAGCATGCTCGGAAGCGCGAGTCAACAGCTGTAGATAAATGATTAAACCGGATTAAACAGACCTGTCCCGCCCTGTCCCCTTTGAGCGCCTGCAAGTGACGGGTAGGCCAGCCCGCGAGGCAGCG